CTGCCCCCAGCGGCTGCTGGGCCACCTGGAGACCGGCCGCAGCAACCTGGAGTGGAAGGGTGAGCGCCCCGGAGGAATCTGATCCCGGGATCTGCGTCCCCGTGCCCCACCTTAGGCCCGTCCTCTTCCCACAGCCTCTTCCCTGGCCTCCCAGCCTCCAGGGCCCCCCCCCCAGCCCATCCCCCAGGGGTCCCGAGGGTCTTTCTTTCCCCAGAGATGACCTGGCCCCTCCCCTGCACACAGCCCTCCTGTGGCTCTCAGAGGCCTGGGGACAGAGCTCGAGGCCCTCAGCCTGCACTGGGGCCCCCGGGGGTGTGGCCCCGTCCCTCTCCTGAGCCTCACATCTCTCTGTCTGCACCCCTCTGCCAAGTGGAGTCCCCCAGAGTTCCCTGAGCTCACACCGGCCCTCCCCTATTCTCCTCTGTCACTCTCTGTCCAGTTCCACTGGTGTCAGGCCCAGGGACGTTGTTCTTCTGGTCCATGAGGCTCTCATTTGCCTTCTGGGGGCTCCCATGATGCCTCCTGTGACCGCCATTGCAGCACATGTCACACCGAGCTGTAAAGACAGACAGGCCCCGGGATTCTCAGGGGCTGGAATCGGAGCTCTTTGGTCCCTAGGGTCCCCCCACCCTGCCATCCCAGCTTCCCTCTCGGCCCTCCATACGGACCACCCTCCGCCTGGCAGTCAGAGGGACGATTTAGCTATCTATTTATTTATTTAAAATAGATTTTTTTTTTATTTCAGAGAGGAAGGGAGAGGGACAGAGATAGAAACATCCATAACCAGAGAGAATCATGGATCAGCTGCCTCCTGCACGGCCCCCACTGGGGATCGAGCCCACAACCCAGGCATGTGCCCTTGACTGGGAATCGAACCGTGACCTCCTGGTTCATAGGTTGACGCCCAACCATTGAGCCACACCGGCCGGGCTTGATTAATTTCTATATGTGCCCAAGTACCTGCCCTCCAGATCAAGATCTAGGACATTCCAGGACCCCAGGAGACTTTCTTGTGTCCCCTCCAATTCAGTTCTCCCCAAGGAGAACAGCTCACCTGACTTCTGTGGCCACAGGGTTGCCCGCCTTTGAACTTCATACAACTATTCGCGTGTGTTTACTTCTTTCGCTCCAGCTTGTGTCGGGCCTCTGTTGTTGGGTGTGTCCGTAGTTCTTTTTTATTGCTGAGTACTATTCCACGGCGAGCGCCATAACACTGTTTCTCAGCGCGTGGCTTCTTTCCAGACGGGGGCTGTCAGGAGGGAAGCTTCTATGAGCATTTTTGTCCATGTCCGCAGATGAATCTGTATTTTCGTTTATTTTGACTTCATACCCCTGAGTGGAATGGTTAAGTCATAGGCCATGTATAGGATTAGCTTTAGTAGGTGGGACTATGCTCCCTCCAAAGTGGTTGAACCAGTTTCGTCCGCCCACCAGCTGTGTGTGTGAATTTTAGTTGCACCACAGGTTTGCCAGAACTTGATACTGCCTTTCATTTGAACACTTCTAGTGGGTGTGTAGTAGTATCTTGTGAATTCATTTTTCACTAATCAGATAAATGATTATTTAAAAAAATATGTTTTTATCAACTTCAGAGAGGAAGGGAGAGGGAGAGAGATAGAAACATCAGTGATAAGAGAGAATCACTGATGGGCTGCCTCCTGCACACCCCCTCTAAAATTAAAAATTACAAATAAAATAAATATGTCCTTTCTCAAAATTATGAAGTTGTTCTCCCGTCGTCTTCTAAAAGACATTGGTAAATATTTTTCTTATTTGTAAATAGCTTTCATATTTAGCTATATGGTTCATCTCGAGTTAATTCTATGTTATGGTGTGAGGACAGGGGTCAAGGCTCATGGGTCCTTCATGGATGTCCAGTTGAACCAGCATCGTTTGTTGACTACCATCATCCCGTCTTCCCCACTGAACTGCAGTGGGGCCTTTTTCCTATATTAAGCGTGAATCTCCTTTTAGACACTTTTCCGTTCCACTGATCTGTTGGACTGAAATTGAGTCAATAATGTAGATTTGTGGAAAGTTTTGGTATCTAGTAGTTGAGCTTTCCAGCTCTATTGCTTTGGTTATTCTGTGTCATTTGCATTTTTATATACATTTTTACTTGTCAATTTCGGCCCCAAAGAAGTCCTGTTGGGGTTTTTATAGTAATTAAATTGTATCTGTAGGCCAGTGTGGAGAATCGACACCTTAACAACATTGTCTTCTGATCCATGGTTTCAGTATATCCCTTTACTGGTTTTGAAGTCCTTTAACTTCTCTGAGTAATAACTGGCAGTTTTCCAGGTAGAGATCTTACACCCTTGGATAGATTTGTTCCTAAGTACTGACATTTTTTGATGATTCTGCAAATGGTCATCCTAAAAATTTCATTTTCTAATTGTTTGTAGCTAGTTTATAGAAATACCATTGCCTTTTGAAATGTTTTTAAAGTATTTTTTATTTATTTTAAATAGATTTGTATTGATTTCAGAGAGGAAGGGAGAGGGAGAGTTAGAAACATCAATGATGAGAGAGAATCATTGATTGGCTGCCTCCTGCACGCCTCCTACTGGGGATCAAGCCAGCAACCTGGGCATGGGTCCTGATCTGGAATCAACTGGCAACCTTTTGGTGTATGGGACAACGCTCAACCAATTGAGCCACACCAGCCAGGGTGAAATACTATTGACTTTTATATATTTCCCTGTATCCAGAAAAATTTTTCAATTTTCTTATTTCTATTAAGTTTGTATAGCTTCTTTTGGATTATGTCATCTTGGACCCATTTTATTATCTTTTGCAATTTTAATACCGTTTCTTTTTAAAAATATATATTTTATTGATTTTTTACAGAGAGGAAGGGAGAAGGAGAGATAGTTAGAAACATCGATGAGAGAGAAACATTGATTCAGCTGCTTCCTGCACACTCCCTACTGGGTACATGCCCTTGACCGGAATCGAACCTGGGACCCTTGAGTCTGCAGGCCGACGCTCTATCCACTGAGCCACACCGGTTAGGGCTATTTCTTTTTCTTGTTGCACTGGCTGGGATCCCCAGTACAATGTTGAATAGAGTGGTGATAGTGAACATCATGTATTCTCAAATTCACAAGTAAACTTCACTTGATCATACTGTATTATCTTTCATATAAATGACTTGATTCTTCTACCCTGGCCAGTGGTGCTCAATGGTTAGAGCATCGGACTGTGCCCCGAAGGGTCTCAGGTGCAATTCCTGGTCAGGGGCACGCACCTAGGTTTCAGGATGGATCCTTGGGTTGCAGGTTGGATCCCTGGCCCCCAGCTGGGGTGCATGCCGGAGGCAACCAATTGATATGTCTCTCTCACATTGGTTTCTCTTTCTCTCTCTTCCTCCCTTTCACTCTCTCTAAAAATCAATGGAAAAAAATATCCTAAATATCCTCGGGTGAGAATGACCAATAAATAAGTAAACAAATTTTGTAAATGACTTGATTCTATCTGTTAATGTGTTTGTTTTTTTTAAGGGATTTGAGTCTATTTACATGAGAGATGTTGGCCTTAAATTCCATTGCTTGTTATGTCCTTGTGAGGTTTTGTTATCACGGTTGCCCTGGCTACCATGCTAGGAATGGCTTCCTTTTTTTCTCAGTTTCCTGGAAGAATTTGTGTAAGAACAGGATTATTTCTTTCTTAGTTGTTTTGAAGAATTCACCAATGATGTCATCTGGGCCTGGCATTTTGTTTGTTGAAGAGTTTGAATTTATGGATTCAATTTTTTAAATACTTAGTACTACTCAAGTTTTATTGTGTCAGTTTTGGAAAATTGTATGTCTTAGGGATTTTTTTTTTTTAAATAAATTTTATGGATTTTAACAGAGAGGAAAGGAGTGATATAGAGATTTAGAACCTCCGTTGAGAGAGAAACATCGATTAGCTGCCTCCTGCACACTCCCCACTGGGGATGTGCCCACAACCCATGTACATGCCCTTGACCGGAATCGAACCTGGGACCTTTCAGTCCGCAAGCCGACGCTCTATCCACTGAGCCAAACCGGTTTCGGCTTAGGGATTTTTCCAGGACATTCAAATGTGCTGGCATGAAATATTTCATAATTCCCTCTTACTGTCTTTTTTTTCCTCTTTCTTTCCCTTCCTTCCTTCCTTCCTTCCTTCCTTCCTTCCTTCCTTCCTTCCTTCCTTCCTTCCTTCCTTTCTTTTTTTGTTAATCCTCCCTGGAGGATTTTTCCATTGATTTTAGAGGGAGTGGAAGGGCGCGGGGAGGGAAGGGGTGAGAAGAAAGAGAGAGAGAAACATTGATGTGAGAGAGCCCACATCAATCACTTGCCTCCCACATGCACCCCAAACGGGGCAGGGAACCTGCAACCCAGGTATGTGCCCTTGACCTGAATCGAACCCACGGCCCTCGGGTTCTGGGACTGATGCTCTAACCACTGAGATCACTGGCCAGGGCGCCCTCTTACTATCTTTGTAATGAGTGTAGGTCTGTCTTATTCTCCCTCAGCATTCCACTTTCAGAGTCTGTTGCTCTTTCATTTATTTGTACACAAATATTTGTCTCTTCCCTTAGAGCAGTGGTTCTCAACCTTCCTAACGCCGCGACCCTTTAATACAGTTCCTCATGTGGTGGTGAGCCCCAACCATAACATTATGTTTGTTGCTACTTCATCACTGTAATTTTTTATATACATTTTATTGATTTCTTACAGAGAGGAAGGGAGAAGGATAGAGAGCTAGAAACATCGATGAGAGAGAAACATCGATCAGCTGCCTCCTGCACACCCCCCACTGGGGATGTGCCCGCAACCCAGGTACATGCCCTTGACCGGAATTGAACCTGGGACCCTTCAGTCCGCAGGCCGACGCTCTATCCACTGAGCCACACCGGTTTCGGCCATAACCGTAATGTTGCTACTGTTATGAATCGTCATGTAAATATCTCATCTGCAGGGTGTCTTTTCATTGTGACAAATTGGACATAATGAAAGCATAGTGATTCATCACAAAAACAATATGTCATCATATATGTGTTTTCCGATGGTCTTAGGCGACCCCTGTGAAAGGGTCATTCGACCCCCAAAGGGGTCGCGACCCACAGGTTGAGAACCGCTGCCTTAGAGCATCCGCTCCATGAAGGCAGGGACTTTGTCTCTTGTTCAGGGTGCCTGGCGCTCAGGGGGGCACGGATGAGGGCCGGGTCCCCCGATGGCGGGCAGCGGGGTCCCGGTCCCCCTGGGCGGGTC